GGATATCCAGGGTGATCCAGTGTATGTGAACAGTGAGATGTTTGGGCGCTGAAGTCGCCATAGCCAATTGAGAGTGAACTCGTATCTGAAAGCCATATCTCTGAGTTTTGAGTGGGCGCATGTCGCCAGTATGCTGCGTTGCTGTTTACATGCATGAAAAGTGTGTTTGAGAACGAGTCTGATTGCACTTCCACCTTGGTGGCTATGGCTGCTCTCCTCCTACGCTACCTCTAACCTAACTACGAGCGCCGCCTTCTTCCTCATGTGCGAAATGCCAAAGTTGCCTTAACGCACAAGCAGCAGCAGTGCTTCCGCATCTCGCAAAATGAACAAGTGATGAGCCGCTGCACTGTAGCAGCTAAATATATGACTTGGATTGGATTGGCCTGCTTCAGACCGGTACCGGTTGCCACGGCCTGTCTGTTGCAAACATTTTGTCGGTTCGGTGGCCTCCGGACTTTCCTGGGACATGATGCAAAATTGGACTTGCGACTGTTGGACTGGACCGGACTCTTCAAGACCTTTCTTGTTGGGTGCCGGACGGGCTTCTACCAACCTACGACGTTTTGGTACTGACTCCTGTCGTCCTACGATGCTTCAACCTACGGACCCTACGGCCTACCCTACTGGGACAGCCTGGGACTGAGATACTTCGGAACTCTGGGACTGGGACTGGGGTGTCTAAAGCGTGAATCCTTTCATCAACCCCTCAATTCTGGGAAGTTGGTGTTGGTTTGGGTATAGTGTCAGGCATCTTGCCCATGTGATGTCCTGGTAATGGCTGCCAGCATACGATCCCTAGTTAGCCCCGTAACTCCCAGGGTGTTCATAGGCCATATTGTTGCTGTCATAATGAATCCAGGGGTTCCAGTCTGGTCCAAGCCCAAACTGCCTGTGCAGCCCTTAGTTGCCGTTATCAAATCTGAATCGCCCCTTAGCAGATCCTTCCTCACTCCCTCGGTACTGCGGGAAGGTGAGGGCAGCATGTGGGTGAAGATGCCACCAACTTTGCAGGCAAAGACCAGAAAGGTAGCCAGTACTTGCAACAGCTCTGTCCATGTTGTTTCTGCTCATGCTACTGCATCTTGACTGGGAGCCTAGGAAGACCTGGCCACAGTAAGTTGTTATGCAAGACCCAAAGCAGTAGAGAATATTAGGAAAGTATGAGATGCTATGATTGAGCAAGTGAACAAGCAATGCTGCAGGTGTGAGGCTGAGGAAGAACGAAAATAGACTTTGGAAGTTTGGAGGCCTTGCGAGGTGGCTGCTGCAGCCATAGGAGCAAGGATTTAAACCTCTGTGCTCTGGAGGCCATTATTTCCATGTTGTTACGTCAGTTTGGCCCTCTTTATCACCAGCTTTGACTCCTGTCTTCGTCTGGATTGAGGGGACGGGGAAAAGGTGGTCTGATCGTCCTGGATAGGAAGCTAAAAAGTTTAGTGAACTGACCATCGTAGATACTGCACTTGGTCAAACAGCGGGGAAATGTACTCTAGATGTACTGCTCAATCACACTCAGCAAGGGAATGTGAAATGTGTTGGCATGATAATCCAGGGAGAATTTCAGGGTTTGTGGGAAATGTACTTTAGCTGTACTACTCAATCACACTCAGCAAGAGAATGTGTAATGTGTTGCCATGATAATCCAGGGAGAATCTCGGGGTTAGAATGGTGAGAGCCATCCACGCAGAGGCAATTTCTCAGGACGAGTCTGAGACTATTGAAGATGTCAACATGCCCATGGCTGAAACTGCGGTTGTTGCGCTTGGGGAGGTGGCAACAGCAAGTGCAAAAGTTGAAGATCAGGTGAGTCTAGGATCCTTGGTGAATTGAAAGATGTGACATAAGTTTCATTGTCATTGTGCCTGTGGAGAGCACGAACATGGCCACTACTGAGTCGGGTTCATTCTTTCCAAGCATGAGCATAGCACCAGCGGGGCCTGACCCGCAGCCTTCCAAACAGTATTGCCTGAAAAGAGTTGCTGCTGAGTCACGCCTGGACTGTTGCTTACCTGTGGCACATGCATTAATTCTCAGCCTCAATGAGCAGTATAGTGTGTTGGACTAGTGTTGAGTGTATTGGCTGCTGCTGATGGCCTGTCATGGTCCTTCGAGGTCATTATTTGCTGCTTGTGATCATGCTCTTTGTGAATGACCAGAATCTTGGTAAGTAAATCAGTAGGATTTGAATGAATGGTGTAATTATGGTGATGCTCTCTTGAAATCAGAAATCTATAAGGGATAAGATTGTATACTCCGGATGGCTTTCGTTCAATAGCCACCCATTTGGAAACCCTTCCCTGAAAGCCTCTTCTTTGTGAAGTCCAGAGTGTGGAACGACTTCTCTTCTAAACCCAACCCTTTCTCTTGGCAGCGTTATCAGTACGTATCCATGTGGATGCATGCCAAGTTCCTGTGAAAGCGCACTTCAGCTGATGGGAATTAGTCTGTTTTTTGCTACCTTGACTATATCCACTGTTTGCAGACACCGATGTGGAGCCTGGCTGCGTGCAGATATGGCCTTAGCCAGCAAGAAATCAATGAGACAGAGTGAAACAAACAATTTTTTAACAAAGCGCATTACTCAATAGTAGTTGGTGTTTAATACTGTTTATTCAACTTTATTGTCATTTAAGTCCAGTCTAATCACATGCGGTTGTGAAGGCAAAGATGCCTGGCTGGAAGGAAGCTTATAATGTGCCTGGCCGTGTTACTGTTATGCCTTTCACACTGCATGACATGTTTTTCTCATCTAAATGTTGACAGATGCATAATGATGGTGGTATTCACCATGTTCACATCAGAATGTGCTTGGGCATAGTAGAAGATTGTGTTGGGATCGCAGGATATGAACCTGCCACCTGCCGAAGTATTTGCTGTATTTCAGGTGTCTGTTGTTTTTCTTCTGCCAGGATTTGAACCTGGAATCAAACGAAGTAAGTTTCTGAAGCTGGTGAGTTTTGAGCTCGGGACCTGGTGAGTTTTGAGCTCGGGACCTGCCTGAAGTCTCTGTTTGCCGAGCATTGTGGTAGGCAGCTACTGTAGGCCCAGGCAAGTAGAGCTCCTTGAAAGTGACTAGTTCGGACAAACCTTTGTTCACTATTCAGCCGTCATATTTTGCTCCTTTGTGAGACCATAGGTGCGCTACATTAAGCACTGCTTGACGGGAGAGAGAGTGCAGCGCTGGCCAGTGAGAACTGGCTATTCACTGGGCAGTTTCGTGAGCCAATTGTTGCATGTTGCTCAGGAAGGAAGGGCACCCAATTCTACATCACCTATTTCTGTTTTCATCGACTTTTTGGGGAGTGATTGTCGAATTCTGATGTATGTGGCATCTCAATCAAGTGTGTGAATGAGATGATTGATGGAAGCACTTGAGATTCTTAGAATTCGTAACAACTGAGAACTCTACATATCACAGACGTTTCCCCTCTGCTGATTCACGAAGCTTCCTCCATTGCTAGGAAGCCAGAGCAGTATTGGCAGGCCGGCTCATGGTGACATGCAAAGTCATTCTTGATCAGATCCTCAGTGGACGTTCACCTTGTCTCATAGCTCCAAATGTGGCCATTTCAAGTACCCGTTTCACCTTGTTTTATAGCTGCAAATTATGCCACCTCGTGCTGCACTTTTATAAGCATGCATCCTTCAAATTGTGAACCTGCGGGGTTTAGTGGATATGAATAACACACTCCACGTTTGCTTTGCAGGTTGTGTTCATGCTTTGTGCTCATGCTGGGCTACGACCTCAGCAAAGGTAAGCATACTTGAGGGATCGCTTGGTGTTTATCATTGACCTCCTGAAATAATATGATGTAGGTAGTGCAAGCTATTGAATCTTGAATCCGCTTGGGGAAAATAGTTGTAGCTTTGTCAGAACACCATGTACTATTCCTCTTGAAGAGGCCCCCATGGGTTTCCAGACACATGCCAATCTTCTGTGATGTGGAATGAAAGCTTACCAAGTGGCGAAGGAAGAGGGATCAGTTTACAGGCTAACTGTGGATGACCGAAGGCTGAAGAGCTCCTGGCCACAGGAAAAAGCCCTCCCAAAGGGGAGACATCATGCTTGTCAATTCACCATATATCCATGAGCAATCTTATACTTGGCTTGATCGATTATGTGCCAAGGCCTGCTGTGCTATACACTCTGACCATGGGCACGGGCGACCTACTGGCAGCTGGGGGCCTGGTGCCAGCGCAAAGTTCTCCCACCTCCCCTCCCCCCCCACGCACACACCCTCCCCCCCCCACGCACACACCCATTATGAGGCTGGGAGCTGGGTCCGTTGTCTCTCACATATATGACACACTCCACGCTTCCTTCATTGTGGATGGACCCTGAGACACGATGTTGATTGCTCCTTCTCTGGGAGGATTTACCGCTGCTCTACCCGTGTGTGGTTCACCCCAACAGGTCCTCTGATCCCCTTGGGATGCCTTATCGCAGTGCACACCTCAAGACTCGAGAGTTTATCGCGTCAGAGGTATTAGGCTGCAGAAATTGCTCAGAGTGCCTTCTATGGGAGGGTTTACAGCTGCTCTATCTATGGCCTCCTGTCCTCTTGCTGAGCCTGTGGCTACTTCGCTGCCTTAATGGCGGAGTTGGTGATGGCAAAGAATTTTGGGCATTGCAATTTGGGTGATCTTTTGTGCACAATAGGCTCAGCGAAAAATTCTGAAAAAAGTGTCGATGTAAATCAACTGCCAATCTGTTAGGGAAAAATATCCAAAAGAAAAAAATGAAAGCCATGGAATGGCATGGGTGTGAAAATTAATTCTGGCAGCAAAAAAGTGTGCATGTCTTTGCCCCCTGTTTTGACTCAGTAGGTTGAAAAGTTGTGAAAACCTTTTGGTTTGGTGCTCAAGGGTTAGGAAAACTAAAAGGTTGACAGAATACTAAGAATAGGTAAAGAGCTACAAAGAACGAAGGGTTCTTTCGGCTCTGTTCTGATCAGCAAAAAAAAAATATTAAAAAAAAAAATCAAACAAGCAAAAAAACAAACGAAGGGTTCGGGGGCAGTGGTGGTTGACATCTTGAACCTACTTTATGTGACTCATGAGATGATGTCCAAGTTTCGCCAGTTGGAAAGGAATGAGCTCAAACTACCAGGAATACAAGGACTACCCAAAAGACATTTGTTCTTCCATAAGTCTATCATGCATTAAGGCTACATCTGAAAACTACACGATGTGACTGGTGAGATAAGGATGAAGTTTTGGATGTCAACGTTTGTCTTGTGCTACCTGCTAGTTTGGATGTTTGGATGTTTAGATGGAGGACTTGTCTTTCAACTTTAGCTTGCCACATGAGCTGGAACAGACTGATGCTTTACATGACAGGAAGGCTTCCGCCCACTTTTGCCCTCGGAAAACTGTTGTCAAGATTGCCAGCTCAAGTCTGAAAGCTACCTCACGAGACTCATAAGATAAGGTCAAGTTTTGCAACGAACTTTGCCTGCCATGACACTTTTGTGCTGCCTGGTTACCTATATTCATGAAGGACAGGCTATTCTACCATATGGTCCATGCTTTGCTTGTGCTACCTTCATGAAGGACTGTTTGCACACCTATTTATTCGTGTGCATCATCTCTTCTGGGAGGAATGGAAGAGTGGTTAGGTCTCCTGGTATTAGTATCTGTGTGATCGAGTCACGACGTCTTGGTGTTGGACTTGTTCTGGTACTGGCTTCAAAGGATGAGCTTTCAAAAGGAAACACTTCGTTAAACTGCGTGCTTGATTTTTTGTCTACAGCTCACTTGTTCAGGCAGTGCTTGACCGCTTGGCTATTCGTTGCGGGTATTCTCATCGTTGCAAGGTATGATTCAACTTTTTGAAGGGAGATTATTGAAGTCAGTAAACTGGAATTGTAATCAACCCAGTTCCGAGAAGCTTATGCATGAAACACGCCATGCTCAATGATCGACTACCAAAATGATATATAATATATATTACATACTCCAGCGACAAGACAAAGGAAACAGAAGAGTAGGGGGAAAATAAACTCCAATAACAATGAATGGGTACAGGTCCTCCATTTCCTTCCCCCTTCTACCTTTGGGCTCTCCTCTCTCTTCTTGCCACCTCAAGAATTGTCAGCCCATCTCTCTAGCAATCACAAAGCCATTCTGTAGTATGCAAAGTTAACCTACAATCTAGTATCAGTCTGGCGCACTATAAAACAGAGGTCAATACAATGCCGGCCTTCAGGAGCAAAGCCCTATTTCTGTCCTCACATTGACACCAACACGTAAGAATAGGTAAGCCTCTCCCTTAAACCTCACTCTCTCATGCTAAGCTATGGTGTATGGATACTCACTCTGCCTATGGCTTCTTAATCTCCCCTATCTGCCTTCTTCCAGCGCACAGCTTTTGGAGTGTTATCCCGGCCTGGTCTACCTCAGGTTTCCTCCTTGGATGGCCGACATCTTTCGATCCGCATGGCCGGGAATTTCTTGCCGGCAGTGTGTGCCTTGATCCAGTGAGCCCTTAAGCTTCTTGAAACTGTTTCTGACCTAGGGAGTGTTTGTGATCTGTGACTGTTGTTGACTCTTTTGGCTTCTGCACCAGGGCGGGCCTGAGTTGATCTTCCGCAGGCCCACCTCCATTTCACCGTTGACCCCAGGCATACCGGCCTAAGAACTTTCTGGAGCCTCTCCCGAGGCTCTAGGACTGACTTTTGAACCTAGATTTTCGGCTTGGCAAAAAGCTGCGACCCTTGTTCCGTGCTGATACTGTCCTCACTCCCTTCCAGAGTTGTATGATCTTCACTGCCCAATCAGTTTTTGTTCCAGTACGCGCCCGCATAGAATCCAAAGGTGTGTGTTTGTGTGTGTGTGTGTGTGTGTGTGTGTGTGTTTGTGTGTGTGTGTGTGTGTGTGTGTACATGCTTTGCATGTGTGTATGTGTTGTTGTGTGTGTGTTCATACATGTCATGTGGTTGTGTACACGCATTCTGTGTGTGTGTGTGTGTGTGTGTGTGTGTGTCCGTGTCGCGTTGTTTGTGTATTTTTATTCTTTTTCAACACCCACACACAACCCCTTCTATGCTGGGAGGCACCAGTCCGGTTGCTTATCACTGGCAAGCAAATGAACATGAGTCGATGAAACGACCAAGACACCAAAAGAAAATGGGAACAAAGAGGAGCCAAGGGACTATAGGTAAGGGAAGAATGCAACCCTGGAGGCTCCCTTTGGTACCCAGTCATTGCCTACTAAGCTTGCTCCCCCCCCGGCCTATTGAATCCCCTGCCACCCCTATCCCTCCCCCCCCCAAAAGCCCATCCTTCTACCGTCCTACCTACCTAATGTCTATACCACATTCTGATGTGGCGTACTTGCACTTGTATTCATAAGATTCCACATCCGTAGCTCCTCTATTCCATACAACCTCCTCAGGCTTATCATCCATATTTGAACATGCTGTATGCTTCTTTAACCACCAGTACTGTTGACCCTTCCCTTGCTGATCCTTAAAACGCTCGCTGCGCTTAAAAAAGAAAACGAGCCAGTGCGGGCCTACTTTTGGCTGGAGCCGCCAGCCATTCTACTTTGGTAGGGCAACCCCTGAAACTTGCGGCTGCATGTATGCTGCATTGGAGAAAAATGGCTGGGAAACGTAGTGGTGGTTTAAGAAACACCACTCCTTCAAGCACAGTACTATGACAGTATGACTTCAACAAAGATGCAATGCAGCATCAGCTGAAAAACTGGATGCAGGTAAAGCCCTTTCCATTCAAAATAGACAAATTTCGTGAAGGGCTTATAAGATCGGGCCAACTTGGTAACTACATTGAAACTGTCATATATCATCATTCAAGAATTTAGAGATGAAGTACCAACTGGCCTAGCTCAGTTGGTACACCCGTGTAACTGTTGAAATGCAGACCTGAGTTTGAACTCCACTGAAGTCTAATGACTAATATACTACAAATCTTGAATTACCTAGGGCCGGTCAGTTTGATAATCATGTCTCAAGGCCGTCGCACCCTAAAATACTAAAGAAAGCCTCAACGTGGTAAATGATCTAATCACCACCGTTTTCCCCGAAAACAATGCACCCTTATCATAAATGCATACAAGCTATCGTTCCGGTCCAATACAGTGGTGATGAGGGCACGTTGTGTTGTGGCGAAGTCGTAGTCAGTGCTCCTGGCCGTGGTTAGACATTTTAGTATTAAAATCAACACATACATAAATAAATAAATAATAGAATTTAGAGAGGAATCGGAGTGAGGTATTGTGAAGACAACCTTGAACCACGAGTTTTGTGGACGGTTGGAAAATGATGCATGAGATTGTGCCGTATTACTACCGTTTTCCCCGAAAACAATGCACCCTGATCATAAATGCATAGAAGCCATCGTTCCGGTCCAATACAGTGGTGATGAGGGCACGTTGTGTTGTGGTGAAGTCGGTAGTCAGTGCTCCTACATACATAAATAAATAAATAAATAGAATTTAGAGAGGAATCGGAGTGAGGTATTGTGAAGACAACCTTAAACCACGAGTTTCGTGGACGGTTCGATAATGATGCATGAGATTGTGCCGTATTGCGGGTAGGCCACCTGCAAGTTTGCAGAATTTTGAGTGCGCTGGCTTTGGTAATTATTCGTTTTTGCTTTTCTTTAATGGATAGGTGCTTATGGTCCTGGCTACTTCTCCATTCTCAGGAGCATCAGTCCAGGTCCTTTCCCCGTGCAAGCCTGAAAATTCATGGTCTCGCACGCTCGATGTTCCCATCCATTTGTGGCCGAGGATCCGTGTGATTGGCATTGATATCCGTTGTGGGAGGATTGACTGTCAGATTGGCCTTCCCTTTCAGTTCCGTTTCCGTTGGATCGACTGTTAGATTGTTTTTTTAAGCCCAATGTAAAAAGGAATGGAAATAGTAAGCCAGATTCTTGTCTCTGTGCCTGTGCCTATGCCAATAGTGGACTTGCGTTAATGTATATGTTGCCCTTGCCTGCTTTAAAAACTGTGTCCAATGTAGCACATGTTCCTGGATAGAAGCTATCTTACCCCTTATTGACCAGGTTTGCCAGATTTGAGCCTTATGTCGCTGTTCCTCTTCTGTCTTGATTGCATAAGAAACTTTGTTTTCCTCCATTTTGCTCTGATTTCAGCTTCAGTCGGATCCAATGTGGAGGCCCACACTTTCTGTCGTTAGGTGTGTAATCTAGTGTAATGCTGCACCTTGCTTTCCAAATCGCCTATAACATTGCCTTCCTGATTGCATAATCACCGGAGCAGTTGAAGGGCATGTTTTGGGAAGGAATACGGGAAGAGAGAAACACAAAGGCCGTCGCCCTCGCCCAGTATGATGTGGCTTCCTTACAGTTGATCAGACAGTGGAGAATGTTCTCCCGCTTTTGATCTGTGCAAACTTTGCAAATATCGGAGCTGTCTGGGTCATTCTTCTTTTGTCTGACGTGTTATTTGTTAACTAGGGGGGCTACGTATGTGATCAGCCATTCAAGGTCCCTAATTTTGATATGGCGTAGGGAATTGAATTTAGGCCATGGGATCTTCAAAATCTGCCAGGAATCTTTGCCCAGAGTTCATTTCCATCTCTGGTTTAAGCAGGTTCTGGGTCCTTTTGTAGCCTAGTCTGACTGTGTAAGAACTTGGTACCGGGAATCTCTTTCCCCTTCCTGCTTCTGCTATCCCGGTTTATTCAGCCGTCTGCGGTAGCTTGGGCTGTGCCCCAGAACTCTTAACTGTCTCAAGGGAAAGGCACCTAATATTACACCCTTTATATCAGTGCTTACGACTTTGTTATGTGACTGATTGAAATTCCATCCAACAAAGTATCAGCATGTTCCCACACACCTCCGAGATGACAAAGAGAACCTGGATAAGCAAATCCATACAAAGCAGAAGTGCTAAACAAAAATAGAATTGAAAATCAAATCAATTCTAGATCCCTCTTCTCTCCCCAATTCAATCAGTAGCACAAAAAAATTGAGAACTTTTAGTTTCAACAACTCAGCAAGGTTTCACTGATCGGAAAACTGGGGTTTCTCTTCCCAGACCCAGTGTCCCGGACGAATGGGGGAAGGCAAGCGGTTTGTATTACGATACTATTATCCTGTTTGATCATTCTCTTCTGAGCCTTGAACATATTAGTCCTTGCCCTTTTCAAAATCCCATTTGCAACTTTGTTGATGATTCGATTGAGAGGCTGTTTAGGATCCCTTCTCCTGTGGAGTGCATAAGGTCCACACCAATGGAGGAATGGACAGAGGTGTTATACATCAGTTGTCCTGAACAGGCGTTCATCCCAGTCCTGTTGATCGGGTGTGATCACAGCCCGCAGCAACTGGTCGAGTATCTGATTCATCACCTCAGCCTGTCCATTGACTTCGGGGATGTGTGCATGAATGTCATGTCCAATTTGGAGTGGGGATTGTCCTTGCAGTAGGACTGCCAGTGGTCGCTCCTGAAACATAGGGCTCTATCGCCAACAATAGAGGTTGAGTGTCCATGGGTACTTGCCCACCTCTTAGAGAACGCATCTGTGATCAAAGGCACTTGCATCTCGGCCAGTAAAGGAATGAACTCAGCAGACATAGAGAGACGAATAACACAAACTGTCACCTGTCTCAGTCCACAAGGAGTGATCTTGCCAAGGGCAGTGAAATCAATTGAAACAGATTCACCAGGACCATATGAAAAGGGCAAAGGTTTGAGAAGTCCCATAGGTGGCCGTCTGTGGACCTTGTTCCTTGGGCACATCTCACATGTTTCTAAGTATCGGAGGACATCCATTTTCATCACTGACCAATAGAAATGTTGGATCAGAGCAGCATAAGTTTACAGACCCACGAGTATCATGACTCTCTGCAATTGGGATGCACAAGCGTTCCTCACCCTTGCTAATGGTGTATGGTGAGCCTGAAGTCGGGGCATATCGTGGCTTAGAGTTGGGGTTTTGGGTCTGTTTGCAGATTCTTACTGACAGGGCTGAAGACAGTGTCTTGAAGCAACTCATCTGCTATGGCCTGTCTCATGGAATCTACAAATGACTCAAATGAGTTTGTACAATAGCAAAGGTGTCGGGTCGACGATAAAGTGCGCCAGCTACTTTGTTATAGCAACACTCGTTGTTATAGCAACACTCGCTGTGCTTTAGTTCAAAGTCAAATGCATCAATGAACTGCAGAAAGGTGTCAGGTCTACGAGAAAGCGCGTTAGGTACTATAGCACCCCTTGTGATTCAGTTCAAAGTCAAATGTCAGTTCAAAGTCAAATGCATCAATGAAATGAATGTATCTCCCCAACTTGTCATTCAACTCCCTTGGGTCTTCATCCTCTGCAACGTCGAGTGAAGAATAGATTTTGAGGGCACAGACAAGGGCGTGCAGTTCTTTCTCATAAGTAGAAGCCTGAATGCTTTGTACTGTGATCTGCTTGCTCACAAATTCCACTGGCTTCAGGCAAGTCCCATTATCTTGCTGAAGAACTGTCCCTTGCATTGTGGTCAACACAAATGGCAAGGCCGGGTCTGGCAGTTTCAGCAGAGGTGCCTGGGTCAGTGTTTTCTTCAATCTAGAGAAAGGTAACTGGCATTATGGTGTCCATCTGAAAGGGACATCCTTAGCCAACAGATTAGTCAGGGGAGTGGCTATGGAAGAGAAGTTGCTGATGAACATCCTGTAACGGGAAACGAGTCCCGTGAATGATCTGATCACTGACTATCCGGGGCTGGGGCCATTCTCGGATAGCAGCCACCTTGGAGGCTTTAGGGGCTAGGCCGTCTGCAGAAATCAACGACTGGTCAACAAAGGACTCAATGTAGGGAAACAATTAGTCAGTTGCAGCGGGACTAGTCTCAGGCTCGGGGGCTGATTCATCTTCAGGGGAAGGTGAGTTCAGTCAAGCAAAAGTGAATGCTACCTCTGTCGGCCTGCTCAGCTTTTTTAACAGTTCTTGCCAGAAGTAAGGCACTCTTTCACAAAGTGCTTGCCTGCACAGCTCAGGCAAATTCGTCCTTTCTCTTTTGCCAGACCCCTTCAGGGATATGCAGATTCCTCCAAGTGAGGATCCACGGGGCTGGATGGATAATTAGCAAATTTGGCAGATTTTGTTTATGCAGCCGTGTCCCTGAATTTCTGGACTGTTCTCATGCGAAGTGGGGCGTTTGCCTGACCCCTTAGGAGTGAAGACCTTTGTCCCAGAAACTGATTTGAGCACCATGTGAGGCTCATCAATGCTTGGGTCAGAGTCCGAACAGCCTGGTTTGGCGACACTCCGCATCTTGACCAGCTAAGGGAGCCGATCCCCCCTGGTCAGAACCTGCAAAGTCTTCCACAGTCACCATATCATACATCCTCCCTTTTCCCTTCATGCGGCTGTGGGAAGAGGAGGTGTTTCCATTATGGGAACTGGTCTGGGGAGGGTTGCCTCCATGTCCAGGGCTGCTCTGCCAAAAGTCCTCCAATCCTGGTAATGCCTTTGTATACGGATCTGGGGCAGCCCAGATAAACCTCTTCAGTTCGTCTTCCTCTGACATCGACAAAGTGGGAGTAGAGGTGAGCTTCTCCCATTCTGAGTTCAACCGTGAGAGGAACCCTTGCCACTTTGTTTGGCCTATCTTTACAAGCCCATCGGCTGCCTTCTGGGTCGTTTCCTTGTTATCAAACCTCTCCTCCAGACCTTGACAGATCACATCCAGTCCACTATGACAGAAGTCCAATCAGCCAGATGCTTCTGAGCCTTGTTGGCCTCAGAAGTGGCCCACTTCAACGCAGCCCCACCAAGGAGCGCCACTGCAGATCGGACCTTCTCCACCTCAGGATAGGTGTAGCCCTTGAGGTAAGACCTCGTATGGGGTATCCAGTCCGATACATCCACTTTGGAGTTCTCCCAAGTGAGAACTTCTCAAGCTGGGCCACAGGCCGTGAACAGCTTCCTGTTATGGGTGGATTCCAACAGCATCCACGCTGCAAATTTTTGATGCAGATCAGAAACTGTCGGTTGTCAGTCAAGTTGTAGCTCAGTCCCATGCATCTCATCCATCGTGGTCCCAACGGGTAGGCAATTGCTGTCTGCTAGTCCAGTTACAACTCAGTCCCATGAAAGTCAGCCGCGTCCGGCAAGGAAGGGTACCAGCCAGAAAACTCCAACATTGGGAATCGCAGCAAGTACGAAAGTCTGGCGGCAGCAAAGCGTCAAAATTGCATTTGTGCCTGTCATTGAAGAATTGTTGCAGACTTGTGCGGTCAAGCATCGAGTGAGCGCTAAAGTAGATAGTGATTGACAGCCTGACGCCATGAGAAAGACATAAACACCATGTTCAGAGGCAGAGATACAGAAAGCGTTTTTGGGGGGGAGGGGAGAGAGAGAGAGAGAGAGAGAGAGAGAGAGAGAGAGAGAGAGATGTTCAAGTTGAACAGCGGGCATAGTCGCGCAAGTGTTCATACACAAGTCTTTGTTCTATAGGACTTTGAAATGTTCAATCTGTTCCGTAGTGTGTTCATATCATGGTGGCGTTACGTGATGCACGGTGACCTTGTGATGTTGCGAGTAGTGTGAATTTATAAGATCTTTGCAAGGATGCTAAAATTATTTCTTGTGGCAAATGTTCGCATGTTTTCACTCCTAGCTGCTGCTGGTGGGCCCTAAAAATTTCCGCTTCGTGGTCATATTGGTAGTCCAGTTTCCGGAGGACCTGGGGGACTGGTGATTTAAGATTTTTTGGAGCACTTGTGGTATGCAAGGCTCCCACATGGGCTCCTTCAGGGCCTGACATTGGTGTCGGGGGTGTGGGTTGTGAGTTTGGAGTTGTCGAAGGCCAACGTGCCTCGCCATGAGAGTTGTCTGCCTCCAGGTCATATTTGAACCACAACTAGGGAATCAACGGGTCGTGGCAATGGAAGTCGGCACACCCGTCGATTCCCTGGGCAATTAGAACAACCAGTATGCAGCAAAGTGGCATTTTGAGAGGCCCAGTAGTTGTAGGCTAGGTCTAGGCGGGTACCAGTCCAACCAGTTTGAGTCTAGGGCCTGTACGGGCAATATCAGAGTCTGCAATGATGTTTCCCTCCTAAAGGTAGGAGGTACCGGTTGCTGGGAAGGCCGAGCGGCCTGGAAGTCACCGCCCAAGAGGCAAGCAGGCCACTATATCTCCAGGTCAGGCGAAGAGCCCAGCCTCATTGTTGGTGTGGAAGTTTGGCGACACACTGGTTGGAGCGCTGGCTGGAGCAGCGCTAGCTTGGAGCAGCGCTGCTGGGAAAGAAGCAAGGACTTGAAGGAGGAAGAAGGACAGGAAGAGGGAGGAGCGGCAGATGTACTTACCTGGCTATGGTGGCAGCCATCTTCATCACCTTGGTGGGCGCTGCAGCTGGAAGGCCCCAGCTGGGGTTGAGCTACACCAAGAAACCTCGAGGCAGAGTCAGGCATGGCGGCCTGAGCTAGGGCAGCCATAGCTGCTTTGGGTTGTTCCTTTGGACATCTGGGCGAAGCCTAGTAGTCTGCCATAGCCTCGGCCTGTGAGAGTGAAGAGTGGGAGAGGCGGCCATGGCTATGGTGGACCTCAAGTGATACCTGCAGTAGAAGAGGGATTCGGACTTTGATTCTGGGTCAGCTATTCAACATTGTATTATTATTCCTTGTGTGAATAAGGGAGGAGGAGATAAGGAGGAAGAGAGAGTTGAGCGAAGAAGAGCTTTATCACTTGTCTATGCTGGTGTACATCTTCTTCTTCTTTCTTACTTCTTCTTCTTCTTCTTCTAACCTTCTCTCTCCTCTCAAGTTCATTCATTTCTTTATGCAATTGGACGACATTGCACTATCTCTGTGTGCGAGTGTTGGTCTTCTGACAACAAGCAACCAGGTTCATAGCACAGAGACTTTGGGGATTATTATTTGATGTCTCCCTCTTCTTCTTCCCACCTTGTCTCTCCCTTCACCTCCTTTGTCTGTTTATGCATTATAGGCATGGTGGCTATCTTCCATGTGTGAGCCGCCATGCCCATTGTATGGGGAGTGATGATGGATGCATGTGGTCCGTCCTGAGTCAGGATGAGTCAGATCTGTGTCTTTCAGTCTTCTGCTGCATTGTTATTGCTCTTTCTCCTTCGGTCGGTTCTTGGTTTCTGTGTCATGCCTGTCTGTTGTTCATAGGCATGCGACACTAACTGTGTACTCTTGTTGCCGCAGTACATGGCTCATCATGTCCAAGGAGTGCTTTGTTGCTGGGTTACGGTGGGCATTCCGTTACGGAGCCTTTTTGAGGTATGAGCCTCAATTCTCCTTTGTTTGATATTGTTATGAACTCACTTTCATTAGATGTCTTTTTAAAAAGGGACAGCCTTGAGATATCATCATTGAACTGGCGTGCCCTAGGTAATTGGGCACAGGTGGGTGATCGGGATGGTTAGTGCGTGTGGATCACAAGGGGCGTGCCGGGGGCACGTGGGGGGGACCAGTGATTGGGCACGATCCTGACGATTCGGGAGGGAGGGGAATGGGGCTCGAAACGGGTGCGAAGAAGAAGAAGAAGCGAAGAATTAGAAGAAGAAGAAGAAGAAGAAGAAGTGAAGAAGAAAAGGAGGAAGAAGAGGAAGAAGAAAAGGAGGAAGAAGAGGAGGAGGAAGAAGAAGCGACAATGAAGAAGAAGAAGAAGAAGAAGAAGAAGTGAAGAAGAAGAGGAGGAAGAAGCAGCGGCAACGAAGAAGAAGAAGAGAACGAAGAAAAAGAAGATGAAGAAGAAGAAGACGAAAAAGAAGAGAAGTGAAGAAGAACAGGAGGAAGAAGCAGCGACAACGGAGAAGAAGAAGAGAAAGAAGAAGAAGAAGAAGAAGAAGAAGTGAAGAAGAAGAGGAGGAAGAAGAAGCGACAACGACGATGAAAAAGAAGAAGTGAAGAAGAAGAAGAGGAGGAAGAAAAGCGACAACGATGAAGAAGAAGAAGAACTCTCTCTCTCTCTCTCTCTCTCTCTCTCTCTCTCTCTCTCTCTCTCTCTCTCTCTC